ATATAACTTTCACAGTGTTTTATGTAAGTTATTATTTAAGCGTTACACAATATTTAGCTTGATTAGCTATTAATATAGGTTGAAATGAAAATATTCAGTACGTCGTTGATTCATTTTCTTAATAGTCATATTGTACAGGCTCATCATAAAATAAAATGGCATCATGGAGCAATATGTCACTATTTTTGTTAGGGTAAAATACCAGTACACTTATTTTCTTCAATATAGATTAAGGCGCTATAAACAAACATTATGCCGCATAATCCCGTAGTGATGAGATATCCGTATTGACGAATAATTAATAAATAATAAAACCTAAACATTTATTTATTTGCTTACTATTATATATTAATTTATTGCTCAATTCAAAATTTTGAATAAGAAATGTAGTTCTTTAATCCATTTTAATCCATTCTCGATTACTGGGAATTTAAACTATTTGTAACAATATGTAAACATAAATAAAATAATACAAATATATATTCATACATTTCATCACTTATACATTACATACTTTTACACGTTTCAGATAAGAATACCTCGAATGGAAAACAAGAAAAACTGATCGAGCTTCTTGGAGTCAGGTTTCATTAACAGAGGCTTAATCAGATTTTTGAAAATAAAATGAATATCTGGAATGCAATCTAAATATTAAGTAATTTAATCTAAGTTAAGAACTATGTTACAAAGTTTACGTTACATAGCTTAACCCCTCGAAGTTATTATCTTACAAATGGCTAAGACACTCGCCCCGGAAAGTCGAGAGGTCCCAGGTTCGAATCCTGATTGAGGTAATATTTTTCGCAATAAAAGTTTCTTATTTGAAATAGGGAAGAGGGGGGAGAGATTATATATATACTCGCGAATGTCCGAACGTTTTGGCTCGCGATTATTAGCATCTCAAATTGATTATGTTTTAATGTCCGAACGTTTCGGCGCACAGTCACATTTGAGATTAATTAAATTCACGACTCAAGAATATTATATTATTTGAAATATACAACTTCGACCGATGGTAAGATGCTCTCTACTATATTATGTTGTTAACATTAATTCGGTCGGTTTCTATTTCCTATCTTACAAATGTTTATTTTTATCTTAAAAATCATTCATAATGTGTTTTTATAATAAATCAATGTAATATTGTAACTATAATAGTATTTTTTTTATATGTGACATATTACCCATGTTGGCATATTACCTATGTTTTTTAACTCTTTCGTATTTCTTTATTTTTAATAACAAAAAAATAAAAATATCTGATTGCAATCATACGCAAATAATAAATAAAGAATGGAAAAAGAAGAGCAGTGTATAAAATTACTTTAAATTGAACAAATAATTATTCAAAAATCTAATTTCGCTTAAGTGTGGCATATTCCCCCCACTTATCCTAATATAAAAAGTTTGACAAAGATTTAAAATTTAAATTAAACATTATTTTAATAAGAAGTAGACATGTTTTTAAAAAAATAATTAAAATAAAATGTAAAAATTTTCAACTGAATAAAGCTAGCAGGATCAAATCAGCAGAATCAAATTGGATTTATCGGAATTTTTAGTACTCATTTTGTACTAAAAATTCAAATTGTATCATTAATGATAATTTTGTATCGTGTGCCATTTTGAAAAAAATCGTAGCGATGCTAGCTTAATATTAAGTTGATAAGACCAATTCAAAATAAAAAAAAAAAAGAAAAATAATTTCTAAAATCAATAGGATTGAATCATTTGTATCATTTTGTACTATCAAAAACAATTCTATATTATGTCATTTCCAAGAAATCAATAGCGCTGCTAATTTAATATTTAAACTGGCAGGACCATACAAAAAAAAAACAAGAGCAAAAATTAACACAATTGAATTTGTGTTAATTAAAAGTTAATTATATATATTTTCTCCTTAAAATGATTTTAATAGTATATACTTACAATCTATGAAGCATTCCACAAACCAGGCACTTTTGAAACATCGTCATTTTATTTTTTTTTTAATTTGCTATATATTCTACAGGTAAAAATATGATTCACACATGTTTCACGAAAAAAATTTGAGATTTTTGTGAAATTATTCACGCTTGTAAATTGTGAGAATTTATAAAAAAACGTCACTCATGCGAAAATTCAAATTATTATATTGTCAAAATACTAAAATATACTATTAGTCGAACAAAAATACAACAGACCGATTTAAAAAATCTTAAATTGTTTTATGGATGAGTTATTTTTAATTTATCATTTTCATATAAATAAATCATTTTCCATTTGTTTACAATTTTTATTAACATTTTTCATTATCAACTCATCAATTTAAAAAATATCATCATATTCCCATTTCAATCATGAAGTAATCTTGAACATTTCAAAATGAAACTCGAATGAATTGTAGTATAGTTAACTGTAGTATAATTAAAAAACTATATCAACTGTAGTATAATTAAAAAATTTGAGTTCCATTTGGAAATTTTCAGGATTATTTCATAATTGAAAATGGAATATGATAATATTTTTACAAAATTTGTAAATTGAGTTGATGATGAAAAATGTTGATAATTGTAAACAAATGGAAAATGATTCATTTTTATGAAAATAATAAATTAAAAATAACTCATCCATATAACAATTTAAGATCTTTAAAATCAGTCTCTTGTATTTTTTGTACAACTAATTGTTTCGACGATATAATAATTTGAATGTTTGCATGAGCGACGTTTTTTTATACCTATATGTATATGTTTACAAATGTGAATAACTTCACAAAAAAAATCTCAAATTTTTTTCGCGAAACACGTGTCTTATATTTTTATGTGTAGAATATGTTAGTAAATTAAAAAAAATAAAATAAAATGACGATGTTTCAAAGGTGTCCGGTTTGCCTCATAGATTGTAAGTATATACTAATAAAGTCATATTTTAAGGAGAAAACATGTAAAATATTAACTTATTTTCAACGATACAAATTAATATAAATTCAGTTGTGTTAATTTTACCCCTGTATTGTTTTTTTTATGGACCTGCCAGTTTAAGTTAAAGGCTATGGCAGAGAACACTCTGTAATGAGACATAACGTAGTCATGACGTGGAGTAAGACAGAAAAAAACGTAGAAGTTGCAATCATGATTAGTCAGAAAAGTACTTCGGCATTAAAAATTCCGATAGGTCCAATTTAATTCTGTTGATTTGATCCTGCTAGCTTTATAGAGCTAAAATTTTCATTTAAACTATAAAATTCTATTATTAAATATAAATATTGAAAATCATTTCTCTCTCTTTCTCTCTCTCTCTCTCTCTCTCTCTTCCCTCCCCCTCCTACCCTCTCTTTCTCTCTTTCATTGAACTGTTTAATGTAAATGTAATATTCATTTTTATACAGAAAATAGGTAAATTTTCATCCCCATTGAATAAGAGAAGCGCTAATTACGGCATTCCCCGTTAGATGTTAGATACTAATACGTATAGGTACGTCGTATTAGTACCTACCTATACATATAGGTATGTATTTAAGTAAATTTTTTCCTCAAAAATATGATTGCGCGCTGATTACTTTCGGACTTTCAACACAATCAATTTGAAATAACATTAATAATTCCTCCAAATAAGATCATTAATTTGATGCTACTAGCATCTTAAAAAGAACTTGTAAAGAACTTGGTATGAAAAATATTATCTCGACCGAGATTTGAATCCGTATCTTCCGTATATATCTCTCACTGTTCGATCACCAAAACCTTGACAACATTCTTTGTAATAAATAACATTTATAAAAAGTATGCATTAAAAGGCAATGTGTATAAACGATACATTTTATTGTATAAATTTATTATAATATTATTATATAATTTTTAATTCCAGTTTTTACAAAGATTATACTTAATATTTAATTCCATTCATCTTACTCTTCATCTCTTTCTAATTCTTAGAACTTTATCAGTTTCTACCAAAGTATTAGATGTACAACTTAATTCTCGGCCCCTACATTTAATCTATTACAACACCTATTCAAATTTAAATCTTTTTCCCACCATATAGTCGTTTTAAAGCGCCATTTTTAGCTAACATTTTTTAGCGCCATTTTTAGCTAACATTTTTTAGCGCCATTTTTAGTAAAACAAGGTATAATAGTTGACGATGCTGCCAATATACTCGTAATCTCAAAATACAGTAGTGAAAGCAATGTCATTCGAAAAGCAGCATTTAAAGCACTACCTTTTTTTCACATTTCAATTGAAGAAAAAGGCGAGACTAAGAAAATGATTTGCCTTAGGTGAAAATGCTCTGTCTTATAGTACGTGTAAAAAGTGGTTTCAAAAGTTTTGAGATGGCAATTTCAGTCTCTACGGTGAAGAACGCCCTGGACAACAAAAAACATTGTAGATCCTATTTGCTTGTAATAATTATTGAATAACCAGCGCACCACAAGCATATAAGAATATAATAGGTCACAGACCTAACGTAAGAAGAAAAAAAAAAGAATATCAACATATTTTTGTTAAAAAGACTGAGAATTAAGTTCTACATCTAACAACAAATTAACTTTAATCTCGATTTAACTTATTCTTTTTTTTATTTTTTTTAATTCTTAGAACTAGAAAAAGAATGAAGAATTAGTTGAATCAAGATTAAAATTAAACTACATTGGTTATAAAAATGAGTACATACACGTTTCTACCAAAATAATTTAATTTAAATTTCAGTTCAATCTCAGTTCTAATTCTTCATCCTTTTTCGCTAATTCTAAGAATTAGAAAAAGATAAAGACTAAATTGAATTAAAATTAATCTACATTGATAGAAACAGGCATTAGAAGAATAAGTTGGATCGAGATTAAAGTTAATAAAAATTTGTAAGTTTACAATGCTAGAAATGAGCACAGGTTAATCAGAATTTGAATTTTTTTCAAATTCCAGGGTTTCGAAATGCCTTGATCCACCACTGATGTCCAGGTACTTGCGCACTGACGCACATGCGCGTTAAAAACCGTTCGCGTCTCCGACATGACATGATGATCAGTACAAAATAGCGATTCCTAGTGATTGGTTCGTGTGACATCCTCAGCGTTTGTTCGAAGCTCGCTTTTGCGTTTTTCAGCGGTAAGGAATACAACTCGATCCGTCTTAATGATACGCGAGGTTTGATCGATGTAGTTGTTTGTGCGTTTCGAGAATCGTCGAAAAATCTCGTAGAAATATCATCGAGACATAAGGCATAAAGTTAGACGCAGATTCTTCGCTAGGAGCATTCGCTGACCGATTATCTCCGCGAGGTTGACCTGGCACACGATAGATGGCCACTGATCGCAAAATTCCGTAGTTTCTATAACTTATAAGAACTCTAGAATTCTACACACGCATATCGATACTTATAATTACATCCAAATTACTGTTAGGGATGGATAAAAGAATAAATTTATTCAAATATATATATATAACCAATTTCACAAAAAAAAAATCTTTTTATATCATAATATAGCTCAAAAATATAAATAATAATTTGTTAATTTCCTTTTCTATATATATATATAGTTATAGAAATCTTCATTGTAAATTCAGGAGATGACAAATGTTCAATATTCAATATTTTACGATTTTTCCCTGTTGTCTTATTTTACACAGAGGAATTGCACAGTCATCTTGTTTTAACGATAACTCATACGTCCATTCGGACACAATCGTACTATTTTACGATTTGTTTATACATCACGACGGTTTTACGCAATATTTCCAAACCTGATCATTATGTTATGACGAATTATTTAATCTAATTGTCTGATAAAATTGTTAATGAATCAAATACTTTTGTTACAATTACTTACAATTTATTATGGTGATGTATCTATACAGTGTCCCGAAATTCAAGAATAATATTATTATCGTGTGAAACTTCGTGAAAAATTAAGTAATGAAAGCGCATTTCATTTTTTCCAAAGTAGTTTTTTAAGTATAAATGTTTAAAATTTGGCCAATGCTAAACGTTGATTAAAAAGTCATTCATCGATGTGACGTGCGTGGTATTAGATGTTGAACACTTCGCAATCACTGACATGAAACAAAATATGTCTTATAAGTTAACGGAACAAAATGAGCAGAATCAATCCAAATTAATATTTTTATTTGTTGCTCATTTGTTGTTAAAAAATTGTCAAAGAAATAAAAATTTGTTACTCTGTAGGTTCTCTTAAAAAATGATGTTCTGCTAAAGGAAGATTAAGTTAGTGGAACAATATACATATAACAAAGTTGATCTACGTGAAAATAAGAATTTGTTGCTATTTTGTTGCTATCGAAATATTCTAGTTTTGAATCCATTACCTATGAAATAAGTATAAATAACAACGGTATACCTCAGCGTGCAACAAATTCAGACGATATACTAATTTTAAGCAAGCAACAAATTTTTTACTGGTACGTTACTCTTATCCCGCTAGCACGCTGAAGTTTTTTGTTGTTATTTGTACATGTTATAGGTATATGTTCTTTAGGAGACACAATTATGAGAAAACTGTAAATTGCGAGATATAAAATTCCTGAATTCTTTTTGTTAAAGGGGGATTGAATTTGTAATACTATTCTTTCCCCTCCTCCTTTCCTGTATCGGCAGTTTTAGGAGCGGGGCCCCGACACATCGGAAATGCGTATTATAAAATTCATCGTACCCGTCGGATTCACATACTTAACCCGAAATTTCGCAGGCACGTATTTTGATAATTGCTCTTCTTACTTCCTCTCATCGTAACATCATTTCCCCTATAGACTATACTAACGATAGACATTAATTTTTGATGAATATATATAATTACTGTCGAAACTATCTTTTTCAGAAAAATTACTAGGCTTAAACTTGAGAGAGATGAATTTACGAAAGATTTTCCATAATATTTCATTCAACTTAATCGCCTCAATAACCTTTAATTCGCAATAGCTTGAAATATGCTGCTTTCGATATTTCATCTTAATTTTATATAGTACATATTTCATCTCGATTAATACTGCAATTAAGAATATTGTAAAATTCTATTTTATTTTATCGGATATCGCTTCATTGTGCCGATTTGTATGTTCGTAATGCTTTAGCGTGAAAAAAAAACTATGGCATCGAAAGCGAGTTTTAAATATAGCAAAATTAAGCATCTAAAAGCACGATTATTATTATTTTATCGACACATTTTTTAATCTATTAACATGAATACAAATCACATTTCAATTTTCTTAAAATATCGAGCGTTTCCTTCTATAAAAGTTATGTTATTTCAATATAATTATTTACTAGTTTACACACAAAAAAACTAAACATGAATTGTTTTTGCTATCCTTGTTTCAATGAACGCAACTTACGACTAATGTAGATATAGAAAATAAATTAATATCAGATTGTGAAAATAAAAAAAAATACAATAATTAACAGTATTTGTCATTTGCAAGGCGCAATGTCGATATCTATTTGTCACATTAAAAACTTTCAATGCTCTCGCCGATTGCAGTTGTAGCAGCGATGAGCGGAAACAAGGATTACAAATCAGCCATGTCGATTTACGACTTCACGGCGAACTCCATCAGGGGAGAAGAAGTCCCTTTATCCAAGTAAGCATGAATCCGACCGCGTTGCGTAAAATCACATTATAGAAAAGATGTAATATTAACTCTTGTTGGTTTAGATATAAAGATCACGTATGCTTGATCGTAAACGTCGCTTCGAAATGCGGCCTCACAGCAACAAATTACAAAGAACTGAATGAACTATACGACGAATATGCTGAATCTAAAGGTAAATTCTCACATTGAAAGTTATTCTATATTACGAAGCAATAGTAATAACATTTTTTTCATTATTTGGCAGGATTACGAATTCTAGCGTTTCCTTGTAACCAATTCAATGGTCAAGAGCCAGGAAACAGCGACGAGATTTGCAGTTTTGCCGATCGTCAAAAAGTAATTTTACCCTTTATTCATAACCTTTTACAAATACAAATATTTGAGTGAAAAAATAGCGTTTGACTAAAAAACTTAGCTAACTATAAAATTTGTTATATTGCAATATATATATGCACGCACGCACGCACGCACGCACGCACGCACAAAAATTGTAAGCATTCTGTATATTACCTTACGTAAGGAACAATACCGATGATAAAGGTCATATACTCAATGCCGGTTGTTCCATCTTCAGATAAATTATGTGATATTTATCTAATGATATTTATCTAATGATAAAAGAAAAAAAGAAAGAGAACGAGAGAGAGAGAGAGAGAGAGAGAGAGAGAGACAGGGGAGAGGGCGAGGGAGAGGTAAAGAGAGCAAACAAACTGAGATTGAAAGATGGAACAACTCAGCATTGGAGAAAGACATAATGATAACAACATATATATATATATACAATATAACAAGTAAGAAAAAATATGCAAGTTTTAGTAAAACTAATATACAGAATTGTGTGTGTGTGTGTGTGTGTGTGCGTGCGTGTGTGTGTGTGTGTGTGTGTGTGTGTGTTCGTGAATAAACTATTGTATTTTATAGTTATGTAACTAAAGCTGAATACTTGAAATACGAAGCGCTTTATCGGTCCGAGCGTTAAGATGTTGAACTGCTATATAATATACACTCATTTAAATTGAATTAATTTTCAGAAATAAATTGTGAGCCGATAAGATTATCGGATTCACACAATCAATCTGAAACAAATAATCCCCCCAAAAATTTCCCAAATCTTAAAAAACTGTAATAAATTTATTGCGAAAAATATTACCTCGGCCGGGAGTCGAACCCGGATCTCTTGCATTCCGTGCGAGATTTCCAATCATATTGATTAAAGCTGAATAATTACGAAAACTTCAATGTACATAAACTCTACATATAGAAACTTATATTGTTATCATCTATACAGTTGTCATTATAAAAAATGTATTTTTCTCTGAATGTATTATAAACGCAGACAACAATCGCCTATTTTCCTCAATGAATAATCCATATTCACATATCCGGTATTTTCCAGGTAAAATTCGATTTATTTGAGAAAATTGACGTGAACGGAAATAACACGCATCCTCTTTGGTCATATCTGAAGAAAGAGCAAGGTGGTCTGCTGGGAAACTTCATAAAATGGAACTTCACCAAGTTCATCGTGAATAAAGAGGGCAAGGTTGTCGAACGACACGGTCCTAATGTAGATCCCCACAAGTTGAAAGATTCTCTTGAAAAATATTTCTAAATTGTCTTCCTATGTAAGGAAGACATTTTCTAAGGTAGATATTTCTTATAGTATAAACAAATTAAATAGGAGATTAAATTTATATATATTATGTTTGAACGAATTTTGTAGATTTTTTGCAATATGGAAAACTTCACACATATGAAAACTTATTTTTTCCTTCTTACATATTATGTTACAATAAATTCTTTTTAAATTCTTTTTCGACATAGGTATGCACATATTTTACATTTCGTAATGTGTAATTGTGAATTGTTTAAGTAACTGGAAATCAATATTACGTATTTGTACTTCCTCATCTTTATATATGTATATCCACAAGTTTCATTTAAAATAAAGGTAATTATGCACTTTAAAGGACACTGCGTTGATGACTTTTATCTTGACATATCTTGTCAAGATCATGATTCTGAATGACTTCCAATAAGTTTTAGCCGTCGCTCATTATTCGTTAAAAAATTATTAATAAAAAAAATTCATTAATAAAACCTAACTTTTGGACATAACTGAATCCCGATGAAACAAATTCCCTGCTTTAACAACGCAAAAACGTTTCGCGTAGAAAGTCGTGCGTCCCTGAAACAAGGGAAAAGTGGGTGAAAGTTGCTTCACGTGGAAGTCGTAAAATATATTTTAAAGCAGAAAATTTTATATACAATAGTAGAAAAGAGACACCATTTTTTAAACTTCTTTGTTAATAACTTTTTAACAAACTGCGATCGCCACCTAAAACCTGCTGAAGGTCACTCAAAGTTGTGATCTTGTCCACATGTATCAAAATCATCGGCGCAGTGTCAGATTTATTACACAAATTAGATCTTTATCTCAGAAACTATAAAAGCTACTATAACTATCACCTAGTTAAGGTAAACTTATTCAGAATCATAATCTTGACAACATGTCAAGATCATCGGTGCGGTGCACCGTCCCTTAAAGTGCATAATTACCAAAATAAATTCTTAAAGATATTAACTTTACTTCTATACATATTACTTAAATTATTAATACAATAAATTTTATTTCTGTTCTACATTCTAATTACATGATAATTAGTATTAATACATAATAAATAATTACCTAATTTGTACCCGCAAAATTATCATTTTTACATATATACGTAGGCTGCTGGAAAAGTTTCTGCAATCTAGTACTTCCAGTGGCGCCAATGTTCTGCTACTATCATATCCGTAAAATTAGACGTTTTAACCTATAATTCAATTGACAGTTTGTACCCAAGCCAACTAGTTTTGCATAGTATTTTAAAAGAAGTTATTTTGTAAGAAAATGGAAATTTCGCGTGAAAATTTTCGGGCAATGATTTTTTACGATTACAAATGTAATCTAACTCCGAAACAATGCATCGATCGACTTCATTTGGCTTTTGGAGATGAAGCACCATCCAATAGGACTGTTTATAATTGCTTTGCCGAATTCCAGCGTAGACGTTCCTTTCTTAGTGATGAATTCCGTGAAGGTCGTCCATCTACGTCTGTTGTTGCCTAATATTGATGCTGTGCGTGAAATGATTGAGCGAGACTGGCATATAACATACCGCGAGATTCAGGCATCCTTAGACATTGACATGAAAGCAATATATACGATTTTGCATGATCTTGAGCGTACGGAAACTTTGCAGTCGTTGGATCCCACACAATTTGACCGAAGCTCAAAAACAGGCTCGTTAAATGGAGCAAAGAAATGCTCAAGAAATTCAACCGAGGTCGGTCAAATTTGGTCTACAATATCGTTACTGGGGACGAAACATGGATCTATGAGCCCAAAAGTAAACAACAATCCACTGTTTGGGTATTTCAAAATGAACCGAAACCAACAAAAGTTGTTCGTTCACGCAGTGCTGCCATGCAAATGATTGCTTGTTTCTTCGGTTATACCGGACATGTGACAACCATGGCTTTAGAGGATCGAAGGACTGATTGGTATACAACAATTTGTTTGCCAGAAGTCATAAATGAAAATTACGTAGAACAAACCGAAATTGTCGCATCATCCTTCATCATGACAATGTCAGCTGTCACACAGCACATCAAACCTTTGATTTTTTATCCAGTAATAATGTCGAATTGATGACTCATTGTCCGTATTCACCTGATTTATTTTTCACCTAATGACTTCTTTTTGTTCCCAAACATTAAAAATAAGATGCGTGGTGAGCGATTTGAGTCGCCTGAAGCAGCTATTGAAACTTTCGTACACTGATTTCTAAGGTTACAGCCTTAGAATGGAAAAAATGCTTCTAAAATTGGTTCGAGCATATGCAAAAATGTATCGATCTTAAAGGCGAATACTTCGAAAAACAATAAAGCCATTTATCGAATTTTACATGTTTTTTTTCATATTTTTGCAGAAACTTTTCCAGCAGCCTACGTATGTCTTGTTTGACATTTATGTAAGTGTAAAGACACTAACAAAAAGATATACAATTACACTTAAACCAACAATATCTTATTGTAACATATACAGACACTTTGCTATATGGTATAAGAAATAAATAAATTTATGTGTAATGATCACATGCTTATTCAAAATCCCAAGCGCGATCTCTTTTGCGAATGATAAGCGACAAAAAATATAACTGTAGAAATGTTAATTATTAGAACATACGAAAGAAAACGAAGCTTCGATACAAATTGTATTTTATTGGCACGAAACAATCGCTGGCTCACATTCGTATTACTTTCGGCTTTGCAATGTCAAAGAGTCAAAATCGATATTTCATTCCACCTTCAACTGAGGCGCACGCTTGAGAAACGCGAAATTACTGTTAATTAATTTGGCAACTTCAAAACTGGCGCGTCTCGTGGGATGGTACATACATAACGTATCGTGGTCGATACATTTGTCCCAACTGCTAACAATAACATTGCCAACGTAAATGTAATTTCTCTTGCGCGTATAAACGCCCACTTTACTTTCGTGATAATTAGCTACAGTGCAGCGGTTACTTTTATGCAGCATTTACGCTTGTTCGATGACCTTGCATGTTTACAATGTCACTGACAGCACTATACACTTTTAGCCTAATTGCGTCTTTTTAAACAATCCCGCGTGATACGCACAGCAGTCGTGTCGAAACGCGCCGGACAATTTATCGTTTAGATTACTCTGTAAAATATAAGCAATGTTTCTCTCAATTCTTTTGTTTTTGTGTCCCAATTTCGAGTACCTAACGTTTTGTTGGTCCCTTCTGTCGAGCACGAGAAATAACTCGACTCACTGTGTATGGATCATGATTTTACTGGGATATTTTTCGAACCAATTTGTGACGCGACTTATCTCTTATCTGTTGGAAACGTCATAATAATAATAATCCCTATACTGAAAAGATTTTCCCTTAGAAGAGGATTCTCGATTAAATAGCCAAATCCAATACGTCTATTAAACTGGACCCATTGAAAATCAAGTTCGGAATAGTTCAAAAATTTAATGCTTTTTAGGTGTTAATTTAGTATTCATTTTAGTGTTTAAACCGTTTAGCAGCAATAAAAAAAATGGGGGGTCCAGCTTAATGGCAAGCTGGACCAAGAAAAAATATATATATTTACAAGGCAGGTACACAAAAATTAAATAGGGATTTTAGTGCTAATTTAGTGTTCCAAAATAGAACTAAAAAAAATTCAAATATAGCGTTAATTCAAATATTCCAACACTATGTGTTAAATACTACACCGTCGTATACGACACCTATATGTATAGAATTCGTGGTACACATATTTTTAAAAGTATTCACAACTAAAATGATGTAGATTTTATATATATTCGAAAGATAAGATTCCAATTTGTTGCTAACCGTAAAAAAATAAAATGAATATATAAACAATAATATAATAAACTCATTCCGACCAAAGACGCTGAGACTTAAGTTCCATTAATTGCATATCAAAGAATTTGATGCTCGCATGATATTAATATTAAAACAATCCTTAGACATCGTAATATCAAAATATATGCATTTCCGATTTTAGTGCTCACTCTAAGTTAATGAGATTAATTGAAATTAATTCGTCGCGATATGTTGAAACTACGATGTCTGAAGATTGTTTTTATATTAATATTATGCGAGCAACATATTTTCTGACGATCGGATAATGAACTTTAGAGCGCGGCGCGCGCTCTTTCGAAACGAATTAATTAATTTTATTAATTTAGATTGAGCACTAAAATCGGAAATGCATATATTTTAGAACTACAATGTCTAGGGATTGTTTTAATACAAACATCATACGAGCACCATATTTGACGTGCAATTAATGAAACTTAAGCCTTGGCATCATCGGTCGGAATGAATTTATTATATTTATTTATATATTCATTTTTTTTTCATATTTATTTTTTTATGGTTAGCAACAAATTGGAATCTTATCTTTCGAATATATATTGGGCAACAAAATTAACGCAACACCTGTTTCACTCTGCAAAAATTTCAAGATACAATAACTTTGTCAAAAATTATCATATCGGGATTTAAAAAAGCATTTTACAGATTGAAACGTCTACTTTTCAGTTCGCTACTTAAAAAAACGATCTCATGGAGATTTCATGAAGTTACACAAACATAAATAAAGATATATCAAATCTCAAAATTTTTTATGAAATTTGCCAAGTTCCACGGAGTGGAATAAAAATTGTACATAAATGCGATTTATATCATTCGAAAGAGCGAATCTTTATTTTTAATTTGCTTTTTTACGAAGCTCCATACGATTTTTTTTCATCGAGTTATTCAACGTTGAAGCAAAAATGGCCCTTTTGCTTAGAGTCACTTAAAATCAGCGTTAAAAAAAACCAAATTCAAATTTCACATATCTCCGCGAAGAATGGTCGCGAAGCGATATACGAAAAAACATTTTAAAGCCATAACTTCTTTAATTGTAAGTAAAGTTTAATATTTTCTCTTTAAAATGATTTTTTTATCATTATGATACAAAACAAATAATAATAAGTAACAGGCAAAGTAAGAGTCAACACATTTCTTTGAAATTAACAAAAGAATATATTACAATTAACAGAGGTAAAATTACATAACGCAAAAAATAGAATCAAAATTAAGAAAATAATTACAAG